CAAATCTAGGGCTGGGTGTTTATGTCAGCATGCAACACAAGAGTCTAATAAACCACGCAAAAGGACATACTTGAGTGACCACACCATAACCTATTCAAATAAACACCCTGACTGAATTTATCTGAATGCTTCATGTGTGCAGGTGTGTGTGTGTGTGTGTGTGTGTGTGTGTGTGTACTCATACCATTTAATAAGTGCAGCTGTGTTTATTCAACTATGTAACATTCCACAAAAAACATAGAGTGCGCATGTGACCGGAGATCATTCATAGCTTCGTTTTCAGAAAAAGTATAAGTAGAAAAATTGTATAATCTATGAAAGGCAGTTCACACTAGCTTGTTAGGTACATAAATGCAGAGAGATACTTAAGTAAATTTACAGTTGAAATCACTGAAACCTAAAAGTGTTCATTCCACTGAATAGTGGAATGTAGGCAATGTAGAATCACTTCTGAGGATAGTCACAAACATGATTAAAGGGATTCGGAAAAGAGGTTTACATGGAATAAAACTGGAATTGTATAACACAGGGAAAAGAAAATTGAGTGATATAACCTACTATTTTGAAATAGACAAATGTTTATATTGTGGAAAATAATAACCCACATTTTCTGACAATAGATTAGAAGAAATACATATGGAATTAGATAAAGAAAACGTCACCTCACCTAAGAGGTTATCCAAATGCTGAATTGCATTACAAATGTGGAAACATAAATCTTGTTTCAGTTTATTGAATATTTTTAGTCTGTGAAAAACTGTGAAGATGCTAAAATTCTAGGAGCTTACTATCTTTTTTTGAAACCTCCTTTTGGTATCCCGGTCCTCTGGTGAAGCATGGTGGGCATAGGTTCTTGTAACTGCCATGAAAGTAGGAAACCAGGACAAAAGACAGAACTAACCACTCCAAATGTTGGCTAGAATGTTTAGCAAGTAGAATTCTCACACATTGCTGGTGGTTGCATGAAATGGCTCAAATGATGGAATAATTATTTGGGTTATCATAAAGACAAATATGTAACTAACCTATGACCACTAGTTCTACTTTTAGACATCTATCCATGAGAAACAAAAACAAATGTCCACAAAAAATACCTGTATAGGAATGTTTATTCATAGTGTGGATAAAAACTGGCTATCATTTAAATGAGTCCCTTAGTACCTGCTAAGACCACTAGTAGGTGAGTGGATAGACCTATTGTGCTTTATTCATAGAACAGAATATTGCTCAACAGTAAAAAAGTATAAACTACAGATGCATGCAACAATATGAACGCATTTCAAAAACATATTTAAGTGGAAGAGACCAGAATAGAATGAACAAAAACAAAATAGCACATTTTGTACAATCATTTACATGAAATTCTACAATAGGTAAAAACCTACCATGATGAATTGATTGCCTATTAGAGGTGGGGATTAACGAGTAAGGGACGAGGAAAACTTTTTGGATGATTAAGGTTATATACAAGGAGTCTATGGTTGATAAAACTCATGAAAATATGCACCTAAATCTGCACATTTTATTTTGTGTAAATTTTAACTAAAAAAAATGATTAAAATCATCCAGTGGTTTATCATCTCACTTAGAATTAAAATAAATTTCCTTCATGTGGTCTCTAAGGCCTCATGTGATCCAAGCTATCACTTTCTCTTAGACCCCATCCTCCTATCCGCCTCCCCTTGTACACTTCTTTCTAACATCAAAAGCCTCTGCTTGATTCCCTGAGACTTGCTGCTGCCACCTCAAGATCTTACACTGCTCATTCTTCTGCTGGTAACCCTCCTCCTCGGTGGATTTGTACAACCAGCTTCCTCATGTACTTCTCATCTGTGATCTGATGTCACCTCCTTAGAGTGTGCACACCAAACACCCTTCTAAAAGAGCAACACTTGTTCCCAACACACACATTATCATCATCATCATCATCATCATCACTCCTTATCCTTGCTCCTTCCAAAGCACAGGTGTTACATATTTACTTTTTAATACCTCTTCCTCTCTAGGATGAGGAATCCTGCATCAACATGTTTGCATTACTCACTGATGTTTTCCCTAATGCTTAGAAAAATGAATGTAGGGGGATATTCAATGAACATTTGTTAAGTGACTACATAATTAAGCCGAGGTTAGACAATAGTATCAGCGGGATGCAAATATCAGATAGAATAGAAACTAGATGTTCTGATGTTCTACCTGTCTATTGTTGCATAAAAAACCTCCCCAAAACTTATGGCCGAAAACACAATCTTTGTCCACAAATCTGCAGTTTGGTAGAGTTTAACAAAAACAATCAGTTTCTGCTCCAGTCAGTCTCTCAGCTCTGAGGGCTGAACAGGGGAAAGAAAAACACACCTTCAAGATTTATCATTCCTATGTTACCTTGGAGCTCAGCTGAGATGGGGCATCAGGTCCTGCTCATGTAGGCCTCTCCACTGACTTCCTTGTGGCACAGGGGATGGGTTCCAAGCGCAGGCATTCCTGGAGACAGGAAGTTGAAGAATCACTTCCACACTATCATATCCTGTAAGCAGGTTAGAGAGGTCAGATGTAGTGTGAGAGAATATAACCCTACCTCTTCTTGGGATGAGACCCAAAGAATTTTAGGGTCATTTTCTAAAACTACCACACAAAAACATATTAAAGGCATGTTTTGTTACTATGGGGTTTGTAATTTCTGCAGTTTGTTTTCTTGCAGAAGTTTTCAAAAATCATGTAAGGAAAAGTTTTTGAACATTTTTTTTTTCACTTTCCATTCTTCAGTCTGCTCTATTTTTTTTATTGGTTGTTCACAACATTACAAAGCTCTTGACATATCATATTTCATACATTAGATTGAAGTGGGTTATGAACTCCCAATTTTACCCCAAATGCAGATTGCAGAATCACGTCAGTTACACATTTGAACATTAATTAAACAAAAGCCATCATGTGATGATCTCTGTCTAATAATGCCAACATTAGAATTCTGATTATATATCAGATATTGTGTTAAAGCATTTGATTTACTCTCTTTATTTTTTTTAATTTAATAAGTGTTTTTATATCATTCTATACCAGGTACTGTTCTTGATACATTAAGGATAAAACCTAATTTAATTCTTGTGACAATTCCATAAATTACGTGCCATTTCTACCCATTCTATAGACTAGAAAACCTAAGAGTGAGATTAACTTTGTACAAAGACACACAACCAATGAGGTTGGAGCCAGGATTTGAACCTGTAGTCTGACTGGAGAGCCTATACCCTTAGCTACTATGTCATGCTATTGCTTTTTAATCTACCTAGTAATTCTATAAGACAAGGTAGTAGTTTTATTCCTATTTGGTGGAAGAAACCACTGAGACTTAGAATAGTTTTGTCACCTTCTCCAGGTCTGCCCACACATATCGGCTCCCACTGTGCCAAGTATCTTATTGTTTCTAATCCTCATGGCATGATTGCAAGGTAGATGTATGGAAACAGAGAATCAAATGTTAAATCACTGGTTCTGGGTCATGTAGCTAACAAATGTTGGAGCTGGGATGCAAATTTAGGTGTCTATGGCTGCAAAACCAGGCCTCTATACCTTTGATTGCTCTTACCTTCAGGGGCAGAGAAAGAAAGTGGAGAAGCTGCAACCAGAAGAGAGCCACCTGGTTAACTTCCACCCTGGGCCTCCTGGTTAACTCTGGGAGCACGGAAGGAAAGATCCCCAAGGGTGACAAAAAATCTACAGGGTTTTAGAAGAGGTTTCTGAATCAATTGTTAGGTCGTGGATGGCAGCTCCATGTTCTCTCTCGTTGGCTGAAACAGTTTACTCTCCTTTCTAGGGCACGGTCTGTTTTTTATTGCAGTCACAATCTTCAGCCCAGTTGATAGAGGGGGTAGGTGAAGTGATGAAAGTCCACATCTACCCAAGGGGCCTCTTGTGGTTTAGCCAATTAATTGTTGGCCCTTTAGGGACAGGGGAATGGAAGAAGAGTAAGGAGCAAAGGAAGAGATGAGAAAAAAGAAATCAACTAATCCTCCAAACCTGTCAGGGTTCCTCTCAACTTTTCCTATGAAGACGTCCCCTGTGGCCCATTTACAGTCATTTACCAAACGTTTTTCAGCTTTCTTTGATTTTAACATCTGCTTTCCTCTTTCCTCCCTGCACGGTCCTACGCTTCCTGGATACATGGCCAGCAGCCTTTGATCTTGGTGCCTCCAGTTAGCCGCACGCTGTAAGTTATCCCCCTCCTGAAGATAATATGGGGCAATGATGGAATCTACATCGCTTCCTTCTTCACCCTCTTTATCACGAGTCTCCCATCAAGGTTGACATGAATCAGGTCAGCTCTCCCATGGGGACTTACAGAGCCCACTCATTCTTTAATAGTAACAGGAGCTTTAGATTGGGCATAGTCCTAAAGTTATCATGCAAATCCTATAAACCAGCCACCCTAAAAGTCAGAAAGACCCCAAGGAAATCAGATCAGGGTAAATAACAAGTTTAGTGTAAATTTCAAGCACAATTAGGCTAGGTGGGACCATTCTCTGTATTATGTGCATCATCATCATTGCTATCAGTACTTGATGTCTATCAACTTCAGATTTGCTATGATACTCATGTAAGCGTGAGAAGAGCTGGAAAATACATTAAAGACAAGCAAATTTGGAGGAGGCTAACTTGAATAATGAAAAGCCTAAATAGAAGAGTCTTTCCAAAGAACACAATTCTATTCTTTCTAACAAAACTAAAACTTATGAAATTATTTCCATTATTTTTATTCCCAAGAATCTTTGTACAATTAATAAATGGTTTACAATAAACTTTTAAATGTAATGCAACATGTCCCCAAATTATTTTCTCAAGCAATTTTAATACTTGCAAGTGATAGTTCCAACACACCATTTATATTCAAATTGCCCTTTAATGATAAGGAAGGACAAAGTTGAATTGTATATAATTTCATAGGCAAATAATCATAAAATTTGAATAATATAGATTTTACTGTACTATTTTCTACCCTTTGGGAAACATCTAAATAATATGTAAAACATTTGTTCTAGTGAGTAGGAATTACTTCTTATACTTTTAAAATATCCCTTGTTATGAGATTCCCAAAGGAAGTCATATCTTATTACTGTTACTCCTTAGTATCAAGTGATTTTTTTATTGTATACCTTTCCACGGGCAGCCTACACCTTAATTACATGTTCATCATGAATTCTCTACAGCATGTTTCTGGTAGATATTCTCCATCTTCTAAATGGTATGAAAGCTTACAAAACTATTCAATGTGATATCAGACTGAATTAAACAACTAGAGTTTTTTTTTGCATCTCACCTTTGAATTATCTGGTATTTAACCATTACTCATATTATAACCTCTCCTATATAACTGAGAATAACCCATCACTTTAGAGGTAGTCCACAAGGAAGTGAAGAAAACTGTTCCTGCCTTTACAATGACTTTTTAGTAACTAAAGATGAAACACACACACACACACACACACACACACACACACACGCACGCACGCACGCAGTCTTATATGAAAAAGAGATAATAATATGTTCTTGGCTGAAATATTCAAAGTTTTAAAAAAGACCATGGAACCAAGAAGTTTGGCTTTAGATCATGGGTTTTAAATTGCTCTGTGAGTTATAAAATGAACTATGTTCCAAGAACCGAGAAAATCCAAGGAAGAGAAGGAAATTTAGGCTGGAAGAGAGAGAAAAGGCATTCAGAAGCTATAATCTGAATATTTGTGTCCTCCTAAAATTTATATGGTATAGTCCTCATCCCCAAGGCGATGATATTAGGAGGGGAATTCTGTAGGAGTTATTGGTCATGGGGACAGAGTCTTCCTGATTAGGATTAGTGCCCTTATAAGAGGGACCCCATAATGTTATCCTGGCCCTTCTACCATATAAGGACACAGCATAAAGGCAATCTTCATGAACCAGAAAGCTGACCCTCACCAGACATCAAATCTGGACTTTCCAGCCTCTAGGACTGTAAGACATACATTTCTGGTGTTTATTAACTACCCTGTTTATGGCATTTTGTTATAGCAACCAAGATGAACTAAGATGGATTCTTTGTGGGATTTAGAGGTAGGAGAGGAAGGCAGAAGTTGGCAGAGAGAAAGAAGAGAATCTACCCTCGGCAGTGTGATTAGCGCTTGCGCAGACTGCCTTGCCAGTGGCAGGTATTTTCAGGACTCCTTTGAAGGAAGAGCTATGCTGGTGGAACCTGGGGTAGGCTGTCCTCACCCAGTCCAGGCAGGGGTTCAACTCTGCTGACTCCATTGCGTGCTGTTGATGGTCGAGGGCGAAGGTCCCAAATGTCTGTCTTTGAACCTCATCCCTCTTCGGGACTCCCCAGAGAGAACTGTCAGTGAGGTGTTCCGGACCATAAAAAATGATCCTCTTCCTGGGGACTAGATTATTTCACCTGGAAAAATCAAGCATCCTTTCTTCCTGCAAGCATTTGTCAGTGGGACAGGACCTCTTGCTGTCCAGGATGGCTCTGCCCTCTTCATTGCCTGGCCCCTGGAGCTCTGAGACTCAACTCTAGGGCATTCCTGCAATCTCTGTTCTTCCCCACGACATGCATTCCCAGCAGGGCCTGATCTCTTAGAGCTACGACCCACGCACACAATTCTCTCTTAGATTGTAGCTCCCGGAGACAAACATTTCTCAACTTTTCCTGACGGCCGCCAGTGAACCAATAAATCTAACAGCTGGTGTTTGCACAGCACTTACCTTCCAGGGAGCTCAGAGCAATTTCCAGTGACAGACTCTAATCCTCCCCCAACTCCTGGGAGGTAACAGGTATTAATATTATTCCCTTAAATACATAGGAGGGAGATGGAGCCAAGAAACTGGTAATGGTTTGCTGAACAGCACTCACTTGTTAGATGGCTCATTCACTCAATAGACTTTTTCCCCCACTTATAGCCTTATCGCTGGACTGTAAGGTTTTTTCACATGTCAACTTTTTTTTCCCCCAAATTTGTTTGATGCTAAAAACCACTGGGGGGGGGGTTCTTGTTAAAACAAATTCTTCTGGCTTCTATCCTGGATATTGTCATTCAGTGGATCAAGAAATGGAAGCCAGAAATTTGTGTGTTTACTAGGAACACCAGGTGATTTATTCCCTCTCTTTTTGTGATATGTAACCATCCAAGTGATTATGATCACTGGGAAAATCTGGGAGATACAATTTATTTCATTTAATACTCACAATAACTCTGGGGCTCTAATTATGACTCTTTATTTTAAAAAAGAAATATGTGATAATTATCAATATGGAAGGCCCCATTGGGACATCTCAATTAATTCAACTCCAGCTCTCCCTCTCATTTCCTTCAGGCCTCTCTCAACTACTTCCTGCTTCCTAACGCTCATAACACTTGATCTATAACCATATGACTTTTGATCTTGTATTAGAGCTATTGTCTTACTCTCGTATCCCACCTGATGTCTAATTTGGGCCCTGTATTCTCACAGCACAGAAATAATGTCTGCATCGCCACAGACATCCAAAGCCCT